CGAAGTTAGTAGTGATAATCAAACCCGAAGTCAGTAAAAGTCTGAAAGTATTAGAAGTCGACACGACAAAGAAACTGAACCTTTTATCACAAACAGAGGATAAGGCAGATTGAGCTACAGATAAGGCGAAGGAATAGATGTAACAAGTGTAATAACAACTACTATGATGGTAGACAGTAAAAGTCACCGAAAGTCGTGTGAAACGGGAAGCGCTCGCCCAATGGCAGAACTGGCGCCACCTTTGCTTTGCTGGGAGAAGAAGACTGCGCGGACAAATTTTAGAGCTTTTTACCAGACGGGCTTTAGGCAAGACAAAAAACAAAGAAAAGCTGCATCAATAAAACGCAACTCATGCGCTAAATCTTAGTTGTGAAAAATCTCCGGGCGATCAATATACTTAGACAATTGAGTCAAGAAATACAAAAATAATTGATCCACACAAGACATAAACGTGAACGCCGGTTGTCAGGTATGCTCTGTCACCACTAAAAATCTTCGCGAGCAGACTCGTGGCTTCGCGTGTCTCGTCCTGCTGTGCGCGGAGAAACCGCCCATTAAATCGCTGCACTTCGTCCTTACATTAAAGCTAGTTCGGGACGTTTCATTTTCATCATGGCAGATATGTGAGTATTGAGTTTTTTCGTGCACAGCTGAGTCGTTCCTTAATCAACTAAGGCCTCGAGCTCCTCCCATCCGAGGGCTGGGGGGGCGCCAACCTCTTCGATCGGGTCAACATCGACTTGCTCTGGTAATCGCTGCACGGGCGAGTCAACCGGAGATGCCACCTGTAGTTGATTGTTGTTTTAGCGCTGCCCGTAGTTGGCAACAACACGAGGACTCGCGACGCCAAAGCTCGACCCACTGATTGCTGTGCCTTTTGTGGACGAAGTAAGAATGGCGATTCGCGTTCAACTGTGTGTGGCGAACAAGAGGGAGAAAGACGGACGATCTTGTGCGTGATGTGCATCTTCGCCTCGTGGTGTCATAATATCAACATCATAGCATGCATCAGTATGAAGATCGGCACTAGTTGCACTTGTAGTAGATTGTAAGTCTGAGCCTGAAGATACAGCTGAGGCCGAGGTCTCAGATTCTAAATACGAACCTTCGCTAGATCAAATAGCTGAGCTTGAGGCTAAAGAATCTGCGTACCCTCTCTGGCCTTTTGATCAAGAGTCCCCGAGGTGATCGCTGCGATGGTGGGAGGCCTTTGACGCCCAGGCGGTCTGGATCGCCTAAGCCCTCTAATAAGACGCGCAGTCTGTTGTTCAGTTTCACAGTCGACGCCGTCGCACTACTGCGCCCCGACCCCGGATTATTGAGGCTGGTTGTATTAGAAGACAGCATGATGCAGCTATACCTCCGAACGGAACCTTTTCCGAAAGAATATGGGGACTTATCTGGATAGAGTGCGACTACAGCAAGAAGAACTCTCGCGCATTAAGTCGAGACGTTTTTCCAGTGTCGCGACGCTCCATAGCATATGGACCCATCAGTTACGCTCAGCATGATGTACTACACTTCCTCCCGGTCCCGCAACACGAAGGCTCTTGTACTAAGAGAACAGTGCAGCCATGGCCTTAAAGCTTTGAGCGGCTCGAAAGGTTGAAGACGCGCTGCTGCCTTTGCAAGGCGACATCGAACTGCTTCCCCCTCTAGTGTGAGGAGACGGATTTTCTTCCGGAGCAGCGACATGGCTGCTCCGGCAGTTGTCGTGGCCACTGGACAGAGCCGCTTTGTTCGTTGCTCCATGGCCATGCTCTGGCACTGGACCCGTCGCGGGGGTATTTTTTCTGTTTGCCTGTCCTGGGCCTAGCCTAGGGCTGTTGGTTTCAGCCACGACGCGGCTGCTTCCAGATGAAGAGGAAGCTAGTGTCGCCTTCTTGTGTTGAGCAACGTGGGTGGCTGATGACCAGGAAGGTAGCTGCAGGCCATCATCGACTAAAAGATTCGGGATCATGTAGCGACTGAAGACACTGTCTCCACCCGCTTGCTGTTCCTGTATACCGCTGTCGTAACCACCGGCGCCCGCTGGTTTTTCTGGTGATTTTGAAAGAGGAAGAGCCACGTCGTAATGAAAACGCGGCCGCTGTCTGTCTACTGAAGTATATGCCTTGTTAGTTTGCTTTCATGAACAATTATCTTCAACGCTGTACGTGTAATCTATCATCATAGAAGAAGAACGTGGGGCACTGTGACATCTTCAAAGACGATAATTATAGAGGATAGCTCTGGCGTCCTACTCAACTTCCACTACCTTCCTGCTTTTACTCGTCTGGGAAGATCAGCAGCGAAGTGGTAGAGTGCTTCTTCTAGTACCTCTCACCATCCCATGCGCGGGAGAGCCGCAGACTGAGTCAATTATTTCCGTCGCACACTTGAGCGCAACATTCTCGTCATTCGGGTTCATCCGAGCGCATGAATGTGCCCAATCGTCGTGGGGTACGGTCTTGTTTTTGTGCTCCTGACGCTGACGCTTTCCCTTTTAGTGAAGTACTGACTGTGATGGCGCATTCCGGCACAAAGCTTTTTCCAGGAGAGCGAACAGATCGGAATGGAGAAGAACCGGCCCTCGAATATTTCTGCATGCACTCTATAAATCACCAGAAACTTTTTCAAGTGCGGCCCATGTGATGCAGCAGAGGTGGAGGAAAACCTACGGACTCACCCATGCCTTTCGTCAGCTGAGACGTCAGTTAGCACCTGCGAACGCCTTATGTGATGAAACTAACATGGGTAAATGTAAAAAGAGCCTGCCAAGCCTACCGTCTAATATTAGCTTGGGCAAGCTGCTGTGTCAACTAAGGCAAAAGCTTCGCGTTCGAGATAGGTAGTCTCTCAAGATCAACAATCTCGCGAGGTAGTGGCCACTTCTATTTTCTGCTCCCTCTCTGGCATCAATTCGCTTCTTTTATCGTATTGCCAAGCAGCCCCCCCTGGTCGAGAAGTCGGCTAGGAAAAACCTTACACTGATACATAGAAGCAATCGACTCAGTGCACGCCGCCACAGGAGGCGGAGGACAGCAGCAGTCTCTATGCTTCGTCGAGATGTAGTACTTGAGTCAGGCATTGATAGTGGATTATAATTCTGCCACAGTACTAGGCTCTGCCTTTCTTTCTTTTCTTGTCCTTGCGATCCACGTTCTTGGTGAAAATAAATAAAAAAGAAGTCTGGCTGGCACCGCGATCAACATTAACATCATTCGTTTATCTTTTTACCATATTCATTGCGAAGAGTCTGTCACTAAAAAGATGAATCGATCATGAAGACCCTTCCACTTCCTCGAATCTGATTTCCTCTACTCCGTAACAGAGAGCGAGAGGAAGAGTCCGGGGCTATGCCGCCGCGCAATTGCAACGCTGAAAGAGCAAAGTCTTTGCTCTTACCACACTCATAGCGGACATTTACTCGCGCCTTTTTTTGTTTACTTAATATTTACTACCACAGATGACGATGAGCGATAGTGATTATACAGTTCGCTGGAGAAGAAAATATAATACACGACGTTCTTACTTATCTAATACCATGCGCAGACGCGGTAGATGTTGCAGAAGTAGAAGTCACAGCCATAGCAAATAGCTCATCCTCAAATCCAAAAAATCCTCAAAAGTGATACAGTGAAACTCGATAAGAGTCATTAACGTTGTAAGTAGTGTGGTTCTAGCTAATCAAAGAATACAATGAAAGTTGCTTCCAATTGAGAATTGCAGGAAATTGACTGGAGTCTGTAGGGCCTCATTTTCCATTCGAGATAAATAAACATGGAGATAGAGTAGATATATTTTTTGGAAAAAAAGTGATTTTATGGTATTCGCGGCCACAGTTCGCTGTCAGAGAGGACTATTAAGCTTCACCCTAAGGAAGATCGAGGAGTAGAATCTAAATCAGCTTACTGCTATCCCCCGATCTGTAGCTGTGCCTCCTGAGTCGCGGGTTAAGGGGATACGATAGTATGAGTATGCGTCTCTCTTGTTTTTTCATTCACTTAGCACGATCTGCAAGAATGAACATGATGCCCACCTAACTAGGTCAGTATTATACGGATTTCGGATAGGCTGAGCCTTAGCTTTTTTGTCGCCTTCGAACTGGCAGACTATAATTGCGATTGAGCACGTTGATGGAGCTCCAGAATCGAGCAAGACCAAATTGACTGGGATCTTGGAGAAAGCCCAGCACTTGTCTGCTCGTGCTCGCTTCTTCGCTGTGCCTTCCATGCTTACGACGCTCCTCTGGTGGCCACAGTGCAGATTCAGCGTCTCCTCCTGTTATGTTTTGCGCGAATGCCTCAAGGCGGCTCCCTTCGTCGGTCGAAAAGTATTCTCGTGGCCCACACCCGTTTTTAAAAGTTACCCGAACCATCGAGCTCAGTGAGCAGTTTTCCAGATCTAGATGCTTCCGCAGAAAAAAGTCGCAAAGTTAAAGGAGATATGGCCAATGCCAATGACGGAGATAAGAGGAGTTTCCATGTTCTAACCACCTTGCTATTGATCGAGTATCTCTGTCCCAAGAGAACACCAGGAGCAGTATTACCAGCACCCTCAACCTAGTTACGCAACATATGAGAATAGAA